AAGAAGTGAGGTTCTTACCCACGAAAGCTTATGCTCCCAATACTTCTGTTAGTCTCAAAGGTGCCACAGGACCCTCTGTTGCTTTTTACAGATTCAGACTAACACGGCTATCCCTCTGATAATTGATTTTAAAGGAATTCTGTAAGAGAAGGTAGAATCTGGCTCAAAGCATTTTTGCATTTATACAGTTTTTAAATGTAGAAATGAAGAAACCTATTAAAGTGCTTTGCAAGAAACAGCACTGAAAACTGTGTGTGTGCTTTTTTAAAACATATTTTTGTAGAACATATGTATATTTGACCATGTGATCAATTTAATCTCTTGCTATTTCTCTTTGATTAATTGTACAGCTCAATTTCCCTTCTTCCCTTTTTTTTAAGCTTATGGAAAAGTATTTCTAGTGAGGAAAATAAGTGGCCATGATAATGGAAAGCTGTATGCCATGAAAGTATTGAAAAAAGCAACAATAATTCAAAAAGCCAAAACAACAGAGCACACAAGGACAGAACGACAAGTACTGGAACATATTAGGCAATCACCATTTTTGGTCACATTGCACTATGCTTTCCAGACAGACACAAAACTTCATCTCATTTTAGGTAAGTGGTTGTCATGATTGAAGTTGATTATTAATTTTTATGTATTATTATTTCGTAGAATATCAGGGTTGGAAGGGACATATTCCCCCCCGCCCCTTTTGTTGAGTTCCCTTATATGGCCTGATCCAGTGTGTGAAGTCTGAGCACACTAACCAGATTGGGTCCCAAAGGTGACTTAGGTAGAGGAATGCCTATCTTACCCTGGTTTGTGCATTGCAGTGGGGCTTAGGCACCCAGAACCTGGTGCAGGGCAACAGTCTGCATGCACACAGGTGGAAACATGGGTGTCGAGGGAACTTTTACCACATTTAGGCACCAAGTCAGTTTAGGTGCCTATAAAGTTTGTCAGCAGCTAAATAGGGTTTTGTGAATCTCACTGGGGCCTGATGCCTGGATTTAGGTGCCTAAAGAGGCAGTTAGGCACCTAAAGCTTTTGTGAAGCTAGCACTTGTTTGTTGTGTTTCAGCGTCAGTACTCTGCTCATATGTTTTGTTTTTGTTTATGTTTTTATCAATGACTCCCTTGTGTCATAATTCTGTATGGCTATGAGAAACCTGAGAAGATGGACAAATAATGGAAATACATTTTCTTGAACTTTTAGGGAATTTTGGCTCACTTCTTGATTTGACCATGATTGAATTTCATTTGTTTGCTTTTCGAAAAAATTTCAAGCAAACTGTTTTTGCTTCCTTGAATATTTGGGAAGGAACTCTTATTTATGTGAATATGATATAATGATATGAATGAACATATTCACTTTGGAAATGTTCCTCACATCCTCACTCTCAAACATGCAAAGACAGTACACCATATTTGTGTACTGTCTTTGCATATTTGGGAGTGAGGAAGCAGGGAGTGTCTTTAAATCGCTGACTTTATTGTGAGCTGTGACTAAAAGAAAAAGGGAAACCAGGGTGAAGGAGGATGTTCAAATAGCAGAAAGGCTGCTTGTTGAGAGACGCTGCACATGTTTCAGCTTAACTACATGGAATAAGGTGTCTGCAGTGTGGTCAGACATTTTCACAATATTTAAAAAAGAAAATTAGGAATCCTATGATGGAATTTAAAGAACACGATTAAAGGTGTAACACACAAGAATTCTCTGAAGTATATTAGAAGCAGGAATCTTACAAGAATTGGTGGGTCTATTGGACCACCAGAGGCGGCAAACAGAAAAGGGTGCTATAAAGGAAGCAATTAAGGAAGATAAAGACATTGCTGAAAAGCTAAATGATTTCTTTGCATCAGGCTTCATGACATAGGATTTTGGGGAGAAATCTAGCGTGGACCAACTCTTTTTTTCTGATTTAAAAAAAAAAAGATTAAATACTGTCAGGGACTGAGATGTCAAAAGAAAAAAAAGTTGCGTTTACCAATCAAGCCTTGATTGCTGCATACCCAAAAGTTCTGAAAGAATTAAGTGGTGAGTTGCTTGCAAAAATATGGAGTCTCTCTTTTAAAATCAACTATTAAACCAGAGGGATAAAGGGTAGCAAATATTGCCTGTAGTTAAAGAAGACTTATTGGTGATCTGGAATTACAAGCCTGTAACCCTTACTTCTGTACTGGGTAAATTGGTTGAAGCGGTAATGAAAAATAGAATAATAGAACACCTAACAAATCATGATACAAATAGGGTTGAACCAGCAAGGTTTCTGAAGAGGATGATGGTGCCTTACTGATCTATTACAAATATTATATGTATCAATAAAAGAGTGGCTAAATAAAAACTCATTGAGAGTTTATTTTGGGTGAAACAAGTCATTTAAGTCCTTTGAAAAAATTTACCCTTAGACTTTCAAAAAGGCCTTTGTCAAAGTCCCTCACAAGGGTATGAGAATAAAATATTGTCATACATGAGAAACTGTCCAAGAGAAACACAGACTAGGAAGAAATGGGCAAATTTAATGATCACAGAACGGTAAGAGCAGGGCGCCAGAAGGTTCAGTACTACGGTGTTTCCGAGCCGGTGTGCCATCAGGTTTGAACAGGTGTGCCATGGAATTTTGGAAAAGTCACTTGGGAGGAGAAAAAAATTCTCATTTATTTTAATTAGTGTCATAACCAAAGGCATTTTGTGCTGTTACTCTTCGGGTGTTCGTGTGTGAGACAAGCTTTACACACAGTGTGATCAAATGACCTTGCTGTTCGCGTGGTATCATACCGTTAAGTTACAGTGGTGAATTTTAAATTGAAGACTCGAAAATGGACAAATATTTGAAGAAAAGGGAGTCTGGTACCTCCACATCTATTTTCTGTGATGAAGCTGAACATGAACATAAAGTCACAGTTGTGAGCCAGCACTATTGTGAGAGTATTTGCAATTTGGATTTTTGTTTGCAGGTGAACCATCTTGCTCTCTTCATCAGTATTATGTGTGGAGCAAAAGTCATGCAAGTTTGCCAAGTAAGTTAAAATGACACCTTACAAGCAAACATCTATCCTTTACCAACAAGGGCTGTTTTTTTTTTTTTGAGCATTTGAAGGATCAAAATGAAAAACAAGTGCGAATGATGAAAGGCTGTGTCACAGTTTCTGATAAACCATTGGAAGCAAGATGCTTGGTTGCTGAGCATGTAGCGAAGGCGAAAAAGCCGCATACAGTCGCAGAAACATTAGCATGCCAAGAAATGGTGAGAGTAATGTTAGGTGCAAATGCAGCCAATGAAATTGCAAAAGTTCCCCTTTCAGATAATATAAGTCGCCACATTGGTGAGATCAGCTGATGTTGAAACTGTACTCTGAGGAAAAAAATTAGATCAAGTGGAAAATTTGCGCTGTAGCTTGATGAATCAGCAGATATCAATCATCATGCTCAACTCTTAGCTAACATCAGGCACGTTGATGGAAATAGTATAAAAGAATTTTTTTTATTTTTCAGACACCTGCCAGGTCACATGCCTGGAGAGGAACCTTGAGGAGGGAGATTTGCAATGGAAAAATTGTCTTAGTGTTTGCACAAACAGGACTGCCCCCATGACTGGCAAAGTGAAGGGGTTTGTAAACAAGGCTAAAGAACAAAACCCAGATGTGCTGGTGACCCACTTTTTCCTGCACCATGAAGCTCTTATGGCCAAAACACTGCCAGAAGAACTTTCCTTAGTGTTAGATGGAGCAGTGAAGATAGTCAACTTAATAAAATCATGGTTCTTAAAATGTTGCCTTTTCTCACAGTTGTGTGAGGAAATGGGATCAGAATACCAGAGTTTACTTTTGCACACAGAAATACACTGGCTTTTCCATGGAAAAGTTCTCTTATGTTTTTATGAACTGAGAGAAGAGTTAAAAATGTTCATAGCTTTGGAGGAATCAGCATACACGGACTTAATTGTTGGTGTGACATGGTGTGTGAAACATACTTACCTGGCTGATATATTTCACCACCTCAATGAACTGAGCAGGAAAATGCAAGGTAGAAATGAGAATCGTGTCTCCTTCATGGATAAACTGCATGGGTTTAGATCTAAGTTAGCCCTCTGACGTGAAAAAACTAGCAAGACACAATAGAAATGTTCCCTCTGGAAAACATGGCAGATCCTACTCATAGTATTTTGGTAAATGTCATTTCTGAGCATTTAAATAGTCTGGAAGAAAAATTAAGCTTATATTTTCTGTCAATCTATATAGAAGATTTAGTCTGGAAGAAAAATTGAGCTTATATTTTCTGTCAATCTATATAGAAGATTTCGACTGGTTCTGGGATCCTTGGCTTTCCTCTGCAATGGAAAGTGCTAAGAATCTTACAATAATGACTCAAGAGCAACTTGATGAATTAAAGGATGGGACCCCCTTTTAAAATTAAATTTGGTGACATGCCTTTGGACTTATTCTGGTTGACGGTGGCAAACGAATATGCAGTAATCTCAGACCATGCTATTTCCATTTTGTTGCCATTTTCAACAACATACCTGTGCAGGTTATGTTTCTTCAAGCCTGACTTACACCAAAACCAAACAAAGAGAACATCTGAGATTGGTGGAGTAAGAGCTATGAGTTGCACTCTCAATATTTTCTGCCAGGAAGGACTCTGCATATCAAGGCAAGCTCAAATTTCTCATTAAAAGTATGTTTTGTTATAATAATTGTTATGCAGGGCAGGAGTGCGCCGCACAAATCTTTTACTGAGGTAATTGTGCCTTAGACTGGAAAAGGTTGGGAAACACTGCTGTACTAAAACGGGTGGTGTTTAATATAGTAATGATCTGAGGAAAGGTGATGATAGTAAGAATAAAAATTTCAGGTTAGTCAAGACAAGAAAAGACAGAGAAAAATCAGAGGGACCTACACAAGCTCAGAGAATGGGCAACATTATGGCAGATGAAGTTCAATGTTGGTAAGTAAAAAGTTATTCATATTGGAGGGAGTAGTCTGAACTACTCATGCACCTTACAGAATTCTATATTAATTTTATCAACTTGGGGAAAAGACTGGTCATCATTGCTGATAATTCACTGAAGATCTCTGCTCAATGTACAGCAGAAGTCTAAGAAGCAAACAAAATGTTAAAATGCATAATGAATAATGTGAAATATATTACAATGGCCCTCAATAAATCAGAGGTGAACACAGTGACCTGGAATATTGTTTTTAGTTTTGGTCACGGTATCTCAAAAAGTATATATAAATAGCGAGGGTTTGGAGACTGGTGACAAGAATGGTTAGAGGCAAGGGAAAATCTTTCCTATACAGAGAGATCGAAAAGATTAGGATTATATTATGCGTTACGTTATAGAAGAGGTAAGTCAGAATGAACATGGTAAAGATGCCAAAACAAGAAATGGTATAGAGTAGATTGAGTAGATCTATTCATATCCCATTATGATATAGGAACAAGAGGACTTTCAATGAAATTGAAAGGTGGCAAATTCAAAACTAATCATGAACAATAGTTTTTCACACAATCTATACTAGTTTGTTGAATTAATTGCCAGAATATTGTGGCCTGGAGTTGAGCAACATACAAAAAGTGATTAGATACTTATATGGATAACAAGACTGTACAGATTGGTTGATAATAAATATTTAAAAAATGGAAGGACTATAGATCCCTCATCCTTAATGGCTTAAAAAGACAATATTCTAATTACTGTTTTTTTTTTAATTATCCTGTGCTTAATTCTGGTGCTGGCTGCTGCTAGTAACAGGCTTAGATCCGGCCAAGCCCACTTGACTCCTGCAGACAGAGAGAGGAAGATCAATGCTACTTGGAGAAAGAGTCCCCTCCCCTCTCCCCTTCTCTTACTGTTAGGATGACCAATTACTATGGTGGTGATGGCTGGTTATCAATTCCATCTATGGGAAAAGACGACTGTGTATGTTCAGGATTTGCCAGATGACAACAGAAGGCTGGTAAATGCTATTTTGATAGGAGAACAGAATGTTGTGAAGCATGCTCAGGCCTTCGTTTGATGCTTTGGACTCTTCTGTTAGAGCACTGGCATCTGCAGTTGCATTAAGGAATCAGAACTAGCCTTGTTCCTCGTCACTGGCTATGGATACTAGAATTAAAGTGGAAGATCTTCCCTTTAAAGGGGATGGTCTTTTCAGCAACAAGACTGATGAACTATTTAAAAAATAAAATTGAAAGATACTACCTCCATCACTACGTCTTTATCCCCTGGTCAGAAGGAGGCCTTCTTACCCATTCTTTTCGCTATCAGAGACAGTTTTAGCCTTGTTAGTCTACTTATTTTTCCTTAAATGAGAGATGTCAGCAACAGCATCTGCAAGCTTAGTCTTTTTTCAGAGCCAGCACCAAAAAAAGAGGTCTTTCAGATCCAGACCTAAGACAAAACAGCCTTCTCCCTCCTTTTGAACACAAGATCTCAGATTTGATGTGAGGATTGAGAATCATGAGCCAATAAGTGAGGATCTGTCCCTTCTTTTATGAACAATTGGAGGCTTATTACATCGGCCAAGTGAGCCATAGAAATTGTTAAAAGAAGGCTATGCCATTCATTTTGAAAACTTACCTACTTTCAGTTCCCTCTATTCTTCCTTTTTTCAGGGGACTTACTCACAAGGCTTTCAGACTTTCAGAAATACAGAAACTGCTCCTGATAGGGGCTCTTGGGGAGGTACCCAAACATCTGTAGGGGTTGGGAGCTTTATCCAGGATATTTCTTGGCACAGAAAAAAGATGAGGGTTTTTGTACCATTCTAAATTTAAGAAAATTGAGCAGATAAATTCTGTCTTCACATGTGAACCCTAACCCCCCTAATACTTCTTCGAGTGATTGCTCATGTGTATTTCACAATAGGTGTGCGTGCTCGCCACGTGCACTGGTGCTGGAAGTTTTTCCCCTAGCAGTACTCGTAGGGGAGCGCCCCTAGTGACTCCTAGAGTGGCACCTCTGTGGCGCAGTATAAGGGGTGCTGCGCGCTCCCCCACCCTCAGTTCCTTCTTGTCGCCAGTGAAGGTGCTTCGGAACTGCTCTGCTCCAGCTTTGCTGCAGCTCTCCTCCAGAACTCTTGTTCATTCAGTGTAGTAGTACCTGTAGTTAAGTAGTTTGATTAGTTTAGTTTAGTGCGCCTGGGCTGGGGCATGCCCCGTGCCCTGGGTTTTAAGTCATGCGACACTTGTAGGTAACCGATGCCAATGAGTGAGCGGCACATGGATTGTTTACGCTGTTTTGGTGAAACCCATCTCAGCAATTGCTGCAGGATTTGCAAGTTGTTCAAGCCTCAGACCAAGAGAGAGAGACATTCGGCTCCAGGCCATCCTCATGGAGTCAGTGTTGAACCCGACTCTGGCGCACTGCTCCAAGTCAACACTGGGTACTGCGGTGTCGGTGTGCTGCGACCCTCCAGTGCCATCTACCAGTTGGCACCGCTCCCCATCCGTGGGGCACACCAAGAAGGCTAAGAAGAGGCCTTCTCCGCCCCGGCCCTGGAGCAAGATTGGGGGGAGAGGCTAGACCCATGTTGGGCAGTCCTCGGTCCACATCTACCTCTAGGCTTCCGACTCAGGTTGAGCGGAATCACCCGGCCCATTCGGAGCAGGCTTCCCCAGATGTCCGGATGCCCTCAACACCAGAGGCCCTGCAAGCAGCCCGGGACATTATGTCCATGCCGGTACCAGGGGCATCGCCAATGTTGACTCTGTGGTCCAGAGGCAAGCCGCTGCTGGGATCTCCGCAGTCGCCCCCGACTCGGTACTGGTCATGGTCGAGGGAATGTTCCCGACTCCGTTCGCTGCTCAGCGACCGTCCCATGCGTAGTCCTCGCGGGTCACCGTTGACCCCCACCAGGGTTGTCTGGCTGGGTTCCGATTGACAGAGACTCCAGGCACCGCTCTGCCTCGAGGAGCAGACACAGAAGGGACCGAGGCAGATGACACCGAAGGTCCTCGTCTCCGAGGGGCTATCGTAGCCAGTCGCGACACGAATGTCTACGCCGTTCCCGTT